GAAATACAGCAAAGAAAAAGAATGAATGAAACAAATCTTAATTGCTTAAAATTATTTGAATTACTGTTACCTCTAAGAATGACAGTTACCTCTATATCATTAACAAACATATTGGAAAAACCTTAAGCTTTTAGATTTACACTGCCCAGTCACTTGCGTTAGAACTGAAGTATTTTCAATGGAAAATGTACAAAAGCAAAGCATACTTTAAGCCAGAGTGAGAAAACATCCTTGTTGTCACTGAAACTAGTGCCCATTTGCTACATTAACTGGGAAATGAGTTATTGTAATAATTGGTGATTTTTGCCATTTTCTTGTGATTGAAAAAACAAGAACGTTTGTAGAGACCATTGTTCTCTTTTTTTCTCAAATGCCAACAAATCACTTTTTTCTAGCACCCAAAGCAAATCAGCTGGAAGAAAACACTTACGAAATCACATGGGAACCTTTACAGCCGATGAAAGGAGATTCCATTGTTTACATCCTTCAGCTTGCTGCTGGGAGAGAGTTTGATCAGGTACCTTTCATTTAACATAATGAACTTGAGGTTTTTTTACTTCGAAAAATTATTGCAAAAAAAGATGTCTATATTTTAAGGTTCAAATTCTATTTGGTGATGCTAGTGGCAGGAATACTTTTCATTTTGGCAAGGGACTCGATTTACCATCCCAAGGTGCTTCATTCAACGTCTCAGTTCCTCTCCACGAGGCTTTAAGTTTGTGATGGGTGAGGGCAGCTTCCGGTGTAGGGTCCTGCCTCTTCACAGCATTGAAGGTTGCCCCAGATTAAAGATCATAAAGTTTCGTTTCCCTGTTGACCCTTCACTTGTACTGTAAAAGCAAACGACTGCGAGAGCAGGCTTGAGAGTCATTGGGAGAATTGGTTATCTAGAAGTGGGTTAACGCTGTTTTATCCTGTTCTCCCAGCATTTCCCTTGGCTCTTTTGATTCTTAAATCTTACAGTCTGTGGCATCACTACCTTTGCTAGCCACAGACAGCACTTGCCCCACTTTAGTGGGGGAGCTGTATGGAACAGTAGCTGTGCAGAGCGATTTTTTTTTTTTTTTTTCTTTTTTCCCCGAGCTTCAAAATCCAGGTCTGTCAGTGTGGGGCATAGCAGGAGGCTTTGGATTATTCACAAGAAAATGAATCATAAATTCTTCAGAAATAAAAGCTGAGATTTTATTAAGTTGGCTTGAAGAAAACGACTCCAGGCAGCGTCCAGCACTGCATGTGCTCGCAAAGGAGAATGGAAGGTATCGCGTAGTGTTTGCAAGACGAATCCCATGTGAAGTGGTTCTGTCTCTTCTTCTTCTGACCAGGTATACAAGGGACCAGAGACTTCCTTCCGTCTCACAAGCTTGCAGACAAACTGTGAATACCGGATCAGAGTCTGCGCTGGCCGACAGTCCCAAGACTCCACTGGATCACAAGAACTGTATGGACCTTACAGTCCCAGTACAGTGTTCTCATCTCAGAAACAAGAGCTGGTTCCAGCGTGTGCTGATTTGACGACGGAGTTGGCAGAGACTAAGAAGACATTACGTGAAGAGCGCTTCATTGCTATCGTTCTTCTCTGCGGATTTGCAGTGGTTGCTATTTTATTTGCTGTTGTTATTCAGTACTTTGTAATCAAGTAGACGAGAGCCTATTCAGTACTCAGCTTTTTGTACAGAAGCTATTTCGGGTATTTATGGTTAGTTCTAATTAAAATCCTAGCTGGAAATGTATAGTTACATGCGTTTCCACTTTTGCTGCTGGCTAACAGTGAGGCTGGGTTGGCAGATCCTTTCCAAATACTGAACACAGATTTCTTGTAGAAAGGGTAATCCTGGGTCCTCTGTAATCAGGGTTAGCTGTTAATAAAACAGCAAAAAACTGCCTTATCGTGCACACTGGTGTGTGCGCGCACTCTTCCTCTCTCCGAATTCAAAGCGGGGCCCTTTGGCCAGTTAGAGAGAGAAGGCATTGATAGAACAACTCCTTTTCAAGTACAACTAGAGCAGTGGTAGTCGATCCGCAATGTTTAATCAGGTATTGTTGTAGTTGGTATACATGAAATACAGCAGCACAAATGCTTAAGCTTAGAGCAGTACTGTATTGCAGAACATTACTAGAGCGTACCACATTTAATATACTGTAGAAGGAAAGCAGAATATTGACTTTGACTTAGTGATATTACTACTTTACAGTTATTTTAATATTTCGGATTCAGTAATAATCATTTCAAGCGTGAAAGTAGAGGGTGCCAGCATTTTTAGAATTTTAATCAAAATGCTAGACAAAACGTTAGCAGGACGTAATGTACATACGGCAAAGGCGTTCGTACGTAGCATTGCAGAAAAGGCCCCTTTTGTATTGTACATTTCTGAATGAAATGCTTTCTGCTGTTGGTGAGCAGCTGTTGGCCCAATCCACATTTCACTCTCAGTGCCTGAGAGAAAAGTAATTTCCTGTGCTTCTGATTAAATCTTTGCAGTGTTTTCAGAAAAGCACAGGTATTGTCTTTAAGGAGAAAGAGTGCATTTATGATAAATGTTACACTATTTGGCTCAAACTGAGCAAATGTTTTTGTACTATTATTAACCTAAAAATAAAAAGTTCAAACTGCTTTTGGATGCCCTTCTAACTTAATCTGAATTATCAAATTGTACATGAAAGAACTCTTTTTAGATAACATTTATACAATGTTTTAAATGACTTGCTATCCCAGTGGTAGCAGCTTCACATTCCATTGTTTTCTAGATGGGAATGTTCAGCCTGCTATGAACTTTTCTGAAACTCGTCCTGTTTGTCTGGGGGGGATTTTCCGTGGACACTGTGCACTACATATGACTGTTCTTGTTAAATCTGCTTGCGAATACCTAAAGATGAGTCTGACAGCTGTCTTCTTTATATCAAACATTTTGAAAGCTGGAACTCGCAAATTTCGAACATGTTGCAGAACGGGTCTTCCCAATAGCATTTGGAATATGCCATAGAAAGGTAGATTTAGCGTATTTTGCAAAGACTACGGCTACACTTCATATACATCAGAGCAATGCACTTGTACGTGGAATGTTGGATGTGATAGTGCTACAGGCTAAGTATTTCCAGTAATTAATCACTTTAAGGGTCTTTCTCCTATGGCAGTTGATGAATAATGTTGCGTTATAGTTTGAGGCATTGTGTTGTATTTCAGATGTGGAAAACCTAAATTATGACATAGTATCGCTTAATACTCTTAAAAGTAGATTTATGGTGCAATCTGAAATTAATCTTTTCAAAATGTACTCTTCATTTTGTACTCTATTTATTTTGATTAAAAGTCCTGGAAAATGTATGTTTGAATGTATTGTTCTACTTGTAGCAGAACTTTAAGTTAATCATTTATTATATCATAGAAATCTCTCCCTCCAGTGTTGGAAAGAGTTTTATACAGATATTAGTCTTTAGTTTGCAGAAGAGTTTACAATCTGTCTTTATTTCTCTTCATAGTCTACTTTTAGCAAATAAGACTGCCTTCAGCAAATCTCTATTGCCAAAGGGTTATTTCTTTAACTCTTAGAACGAAGTTTGTAGAGGTTTATTTGGCAATAATATTTCTGATAATTTTAAAAGATAAATTAGGATTGCAGAGTAAATACTAACAAGTCATGACTCCTAAAAAGTGAAAGAAAGTTTTTTTTGTAATTGCCACAAAATATTCAACTTTGCAGAAAATATCCAGGAAAGCCCTCCGCAATACGGATTTTACGTCAGCTGTTATCCATTCCAGAACGATATACCCTAGTGGCATTAATGTATTAGGTATCTTCAGTTTTCTTGTATTGTCATTTTGAGGTATCTCAAACTTATGTTAAAGCTGCCATGCATTGTATTACTAAATTGTAACTATCAAATAGATAATATATTTAATACAGCCAATAAATAATACAAATGTATTCAAATTTGACTACAGGGTTGTGTGTGTTTTTTCTGGATTTTAATCTTATTCGGGAGCAGTCATTTGTGTAGTATGTAATTTAAGGTGAAGAAACATGTTTAGCCTTGTTACTAAGTGTCATTAAGAGCTGTCTTAACTTTTCTTCCAGAAAGATTTTTTTTTTTTTTTTTTTTTTTTTAAATTGTGGGAACTTTAGCACAATACTGTCCTCTTCTTTTCCAAGAGCTGTGTCAGTCGGGGGACCAAACAGTGCGATTTCTGAACCCTTTTACGTGAGGTCTTGGGGCAGCCCGTGAACGGCTGATCTGGACTCGGTGTTTGCCTGTTTTACAAATAAGGGAGATGGGCAAATGCCTTCTGCTCTCGCTTCCCTCCCCAACGATCGCCCACGTGCATAATGTGTCCCTGGTCCGATCAGATGAGCACTAAAGGCAAGGACCGTTTCTTCCCGCAGAGCTCAGCAGAGATGGGGTCTGACTTTGCAGAAAGGGTACAGTTGAATAAAGAACAAGATAAAAGACTGAAAATGAGGGAAGCAACTCAAGAGACCTGAGGGGTGAGCAATAAATCAGTTTGTTGGAAGAAGGCAATGCATTCATAGTCCCACTAAATGAGTAATTTCTTATCACTTTCCTTTCAGGTACCTTACAGATTGTATTTCTTACGCTTATTTGCTTGAGAGCAAGCGGCGGGCCTGGCTTTAATCTCCACTTTATCTCTCTTGGCTTCTGTGGGAAGAAAGTAACGAATTATGTTTCACAGGTCTGTGATTAACAAAACGTCTGGTCCTCAAAAACTGAGACAAATCCTTTCACAGGAGCTTTGTGGAGAGTTAAGCCTGATGGTGCGGCTGGTAAGTTCACTGAAGAGAAGAGCCCAGCCTCCCCTGTGCCTGCTCCTCTGTGCGGGAACAATGGGAATTGACTCCAACCTTCCTAAAGCGTTCCAAACCTATCTCAGTAGTGAGATAGCCAAAAGGACAGCCTTAATACTTGTTCCAGTCTCCACGTGCACTGTCTACCCAGGTTTTAACCCACAATACTGCTGGCAAAATGGCTAGGTTGCATGAATTAAGTCAATGCTGAACAGTTGACATGAAAGAACCGAGTTCTGTCCCTTCAAAAGAAACCTTTCCACTCCTGGTCAGGCTCCTGCAGCGCCGAGTTTGCTTGTGGTGCAGGATTTTGCTCATCGCTTTCCTGTATTTGTGTGACATGACGTTGTAAAGTATAGGGTTTATGGAAGCCCCAAGATAGAAGAGGAGCATGGCGATGAGGTTGAAGTACTGCGTGAGGTCATACAGGAGGATTTCACTCTGGGCGAAGAGGATTCGGCCGACGTGGAATGGGAGCCAACACAGCACAAAGGCCAAGACTACGATGGCTAAAGAGGAAGAAAGCACACTTAGTCATCTTCAGCAGAGTTTATTCTGCCTCTTTAAACTATTTAAGGACCGAGACGTGAGCTTGCCAAGTTTAACCCAGCACAGGCAAGACCTCCTGCCTTGCCCAGCTGCTTTTGTGCTATGGTTACTGGTAATCTTAAGCAACAAGGACTTAAGGTTGCACACAAAATTAATTGTTTGCAAATAAAATAGGGCTCTCGACACCCATGTTGTCCAGCGGAGATAAAGGAATCGAATCAGCCTGGGGCAAAGCAGCCTGTACTTAAATGAAGGATTACTGCCCACTCTTGGCTTGAAAACTGGCATCCTGCGATGGGTATCAGAGGGGAAGGACCAGGGACACAGGAGGTGGGGGGCCCCTCTGGGCAGCAGAGCGGTGGAAAAGGGGAGTAAACTGGACGAGGAGGCACTGAGGAAGAGGATGGAAAAGCAGAGCACGCAATAAGCAAATAAAGCCTGGCAGGAAACAGCCGGTGGATAGCTGTGGTATGTTTTACTGAAGGTATCTCCAGTCATGGGTGCTGCTGCTTCCCCGGGGACAAGGATTTTGGGGGTTGGGCTTGGGAGGGAGCAGTCAGAGGGATGGGGAGGAGGGGAGGGGACCCAAACCCTCCCGGTTTCAGTGTCTGCACCAAGGCACAGGTACCAGCTGGCACAGGATAAAGATCACGTTCAAGTAAGCCCAGACAGGTGGGTCATTGCCATCCTGGACAAAACCATAGTCACTAAGCTTGAGACAGGGGAAATGGCTTTAAAACCTTTCCTTGCCACAGCAGGGGAAGTGCCTGGTCTGGTTTTAAGTCACAGAATTTTCCCATTTCTTTAATTTAATCCCACAAGGTCAGAGATTGTGGGGGGACATGAAGAATGTGATCTCAAAACAACCAAAAGCCACCCTGATCTGCTGTAAGATCCTTAGCCTCAATACCGTGCAGTCAAGGACTCCCCTTCTTACCAGAGTGAGCAAGGAACATAAATTAAGTGTAAATCCATTGATTTTAAATCTGTGTAACCCTGTGTGTTTTCTCCCTCCTCTCCATCATCCCCCGCATCGCTGTACGCCCCGTGGGAGTGATTAAAGAAGGCAGCTCTTCAGGTTGGGTTTCTAAAATACTCTTACCCAGCATTTTGACAGTCTGCGTGTGGGACCTTTTGCTGCCCGCAGCCTGGCAGCCCGGCAGCCGCTGCGTGCTCCGCCAGAGCTTTCTGCAGATGAGTCTGTACAGCAGAGTCAAGCAGAGCATGGGCAGGAAGAAATAAATGGTGGAGACCCAGGTCATGGTCTCGAGCAGCCCCGTGCGGGCCACGCGCTCAATGGACCTACACTCCCGGCTCTCCTGGGGCAGGCTGCCGTTGGGGTGTTCAACCCCGAAGAGGAAGAGGATGGGGCCGGCGGTCAGGAGGGAGCAGCCCCACAGCGCCAGGATGACCCGTTTCACCCGGCACTTGGTGATGGTCGCTTTGGCTTTCAGGGGAAAGCAGATGGCGAAGTACCTCTCCATGCTCACCGTGGTGATGTGCAGGATGGTGCAGTACGTGCACGTTTCGCTCAGGTAAATGAAGAACTTGCAGAGAAAATCCCCAAATATGTAGGGCTTGTACTTCCAGAGGCGGTACAGATCCGAAGGCAGGCCAAGGAAAATCAGCGTGTCCGACAGCGCCATGCTGGACAGGTACATGTTCACTGTCGTCCTCATCTCCTGCGAGCGTCTGAAAATGACTATCGTTATCAAATTCCCAGAGACTCCCAAGAAAAACAGGATGATGGAAATTACTGTCACAGGCACCAAAATATGGACATCAAACAAAGAAAAAGACTGATCTTCAGAGGAGTCAGTGTCATTTCTGAAATAGCTGTGATTCGAGATGGAGCCCATGTCTGGTTTCAAAGCCAAGGGCAGGGCTGGCTTCGTCTTCCCCTTCGATGGAAACCTCAGTCACGGTGAGAGAGAGGCATGTTTCAAAGCCAGTGTCCAAGCACCAATTGTCTACGCAACGATTCTTACGTGACCAGTTAAAAAATTAAAATTATGTTCATAAACATTTAGCTGATGAAGCTAAATACCCAAGTGCCAGTTAGTCCGTTTTACGAGAAGCGAAGGAATATTAGATTCACACATCCAGCATTCGCCAGACACCACCTTTTAAACACAATATTGACCATTATAAAACAATATTTACCATGCTGATATTTACCCTTAGCTTTGCAGCATTTGGAAAAGGGCCATTTTTTACATTTCCTTTCAAGTTCTGTGAATCCCACCAAGGGTGTAGAGCCGGGTCTGGTGGCCGGGCTCCGGATCGATCGTGGGGGAGCTGCAAGGAGAGGCAGTCCCCCCCAACGACAGCCGGACGGGAACAGCCTCTCGGATGTGCTCAGCCGTTTACCTTCCAGCACTTGTGAGTGCCACAAGTGGAAATCTTTAGGACGAGAAGTTTTCTCGAGGCTCCGCCAAGGAGCAGGGAGGCTCGCGGGCGGTCACCGCGGCTCGCAGACACAGGATGCTTCACCTGCAGGATGGCTTTCCTGCCGCCGGTGACAACGATGCCGTTGTGCCGGGAGGTCCCCGGCGTGCTGGAGTTCCCTGGCACGCGGCACGATTTCTGAGGAAATCGGCTGGGGCCGCTTGACTTTTCGTGGCCGTTTCCCCTGCTGCCCATTCTGCGGTCATCCATCTTCCTCCCTCCACCTACACACTGCTAATGATGCTGCACTAAATACGCACCCCCACGCCGCTTTTCTCCTTACCCTGCAAAAAGTGGCTGCAGTTACCAGGTAGGGCAGAACAGTTCTTTGATACTGGAAATTTAATTAGCCCATTTGGGCCAGTTACATAATTTTCCATCATTCTGTGTTTACTTAGGGCCTTTCCCACTTGAGCTCCTCCCCAGCATATGCCGCTGAGTGAGAAACTTCTACTGACAGTGCTTTAATGACATTATCAAGATAGGATGGAAAAGCCTTTATTTGAACATCAGTCTTCAAAATGAGACAGTCTGACACTTAGCCCTGATTTACTTTCCACTTCAGAAAAGATCAGAGATTATGAGCTGGAAAGCGCGGAGGAGGCAAGGGAAAAAGGGGCCAGCGTGAGGGAAAACGCAAGGGAAGGCTCCGGGAAGCTGGAGGTTAACTGCATGCAGCCGGAGAGAGCAGGGCACCGGAGAGGCTGCGTACGCCGCTCGGCTCGACAGCAGGATGTGTCTGGCCACGGTCCTCGGAAATTCCTCCATAACCTGGGAACCGGGGCGCTGGCAGAAGTGAGCGGGGTACCCGGTACAAAAGAAACCTCCCCCGTTCTCCTCAGAGCTCTGCTCTCTGCAGTTTTTCTTGTCTGAAGGACTATTCAAAAGCCAGCATTTTGTAGAGCCAAACAGTGTGGGATTTGGGCTCAAAAGGTCAGTGCTGAACACAGTCACTGTGTTGTGTTGACGGATCCCTGGTTCTAACGTTAGGGAGATTTCTGCTGCCATTTCCAAGAGGCAGAAGCACTGGCTGTGGGGTTTTTTTCAAGAGATTTAGGCACCTGAGCACCTCAAAAAAAGAAAAGCAGTCTCTGTGCCAAGGCTTTACTTCGCTGCACCTTAAACACCTCTACAAAATCTGTCTAAGAAGAAATCCCCAATAATTAGCTCTGCATTGGTGATTTAAACGGCGCACCCTGAGCGGACCTAAGTCCTGGCCGGCGCATGGGCTGAAGAGTGCGCGGCTGTCGTCCCTATTTATTCGAGCAGATCGCTCCCAGCTGGGAGACAGTTGCCTTTGATGAACGTCCCCGGTTAGCAGTGGCAGACGGAGGAGTCGGCGCTCGGCCTGGTCACGCCGTGACCCAGTTTCCTGTTTTCCAACCCTGAAAGAAACCCCAGTGTCTGGGCAGAGATGAAGGGTGACTGCTCTTTCATTCAGCCGACGCGTGGTGCCTCCGCAGCCAGCTGAACGCAGGCATTCGCAGCACGGCCGTGCCCCAGAGGACTGGCGGTGGGGAGGAAGCTTTCACGGCCAGGCAGACCTGCTCCAGCTCAGCTGCCCACACGGAAGGCATCTGTGGCCTCAGGGACAAATATCTCCCCTCTGGAAACTGGCTCTCTGCATCTTCTCCTTGCCGCTGGTTTCCAGGCAGAAATGCTGCAAGTAGCTGCAGCTCTTGGTCGTGCTGCTCAGCCTGGAAAGTCACCTCTGCGCAGCAGGGTTGGTGGGGAAGGTGGTCACAGCACGGGCAAGAGATCTGGGGGGGGTGGCAGAAATGTCTTTGCCCATTTTTGGGGGTAAACCCAGAGCCCTTCGGCAGTACGAAGTATCTTTCTGTTTTAAGCATTAGGAATAAATGGCAGTGATGGGCAGACGGCCCCGATGATGCCAAGTTTCAGCTTGATCCACAGCCTGCATCCAGTGCACAGTGGAAGAGCTCCCCTCCCCCTCTTCTCTAAAACAAGGGAAAAAAAGCGGGTTTTGTTTGTTGTCTAAGGTCAGTGTCTGGAATTCATCCTCCGTTCCCTCCTTGCAGGATGTTTTTGTGTAATATACTATGACTCATGAAAGTCAAATGACTTGGACTATAACGCTACAGTGCTTCCAGCCAAAGCGCCTCAGCAGAGGCATTCCGGCACGTGCTGGATGCGGGTTTCCAGCTCCTCCAGCTGCCGCCGCAGCCGCGGAGCTGCCTCTGCCCCCCGTCAGGCCGAGTCAGGCACCCCCCATCACCAGCAAACCCGTGGCGTGGAGGGCCAGCCGCCATCTCAGTACGTACACGCAGGGGCCAAGTCAGATTTGAAAGTTGCATTTACATCTAGGTGGGCTGAGTGTACGGCTTCCAGGTGTTGAACATCATCCTTGGTACAGATGAGAAGCAGAGAGAGAGTCTCGCTGCTGGTGGGATGGTTTGCAATGCGTTTCAGGATCGCAAGTTAACAGCTGTTTATTTCTTCTTGCTCTCAGAGGAGGTTGGCTTCTCTACCCCGTTATATCAGCTGGTCTAGTGCGGATATCGCATCCTCCTCCAGACCTTGCTTCATTTGGACTGTCACGGCTAATGACAACACTATTGCAACTTCTTCTGGTATGCTGCTAATCCCCCGCTTTGCAAAATCACAGGAAAACAATTTTTTTTGGTTCTGTTTTGCCTCAGAAAGCGAGAGAGAAACTTTTGATGAGACTTGCATGGAATGTATGTAGAGATCCTTTGGCTGCTAAGAAAACAAGCTTAAAAAGTGCTGCTGCCAGTACTCCCATTTTTCTTTAATCCGGGGAATGCTGACAATTTAAAAAGTGGCCATCAAAGTCGTTAATGAAGTACCGTACCCTTCTGCTTCATCACTGCACAAACAGCTGGCGTTGGACTATTCTGCAGCAAGGGGACCGGGGAAAATTCCCTGAACCCGTAAGGGTGTATCGTGTATCGCTTTGTCTCCACAAATATTTTTATTAAAAAGAATTTCTGCATCACAGAAATGCAGTTTTTAAAAATAAAAAGCAGAATAAAGGCCCTATCTAACCCAATGCCGGTCTGACCTGGGGCCTGTGCCTCCCCACC